ACATATTTATTTATTATTATTTTTTTCTATTTAATAAATTTGAATTAAAACTTTTTTCTTAGTAATTTAAAACTAAATCTTAAAAAATATATTATAAATCAAAATAAAAAATACTATATTTGAAATGTATTTAAAAACCATAATTTATTCAAGCATAAAAATAAATAAACATCGATAAATCAGCAACTAGAGGTTAAGAAAATTTAAATAAATTACTTTTTCATCGACTAAATAATTTGTTGCACAAGAATGCGTCAGTAGTGATGTCTTTACTCGCTTTAGAATTCTGAGGTCAAAAATATTTAGCCATGAAAGTTAATTAAATATTTGTTGTTGTTGTCTTCAAGGCTTGGTGATGTTGATGTATAGCTAATTTTATCAAATTTTATACTATTAAAAATGATATTTTGTATATAATCATACTATACATTATGCTGACCATTTGGCCTTGTTTCTGCCAGATTTTAATAACTTAAATTACAGATGTCTATTAGATTTTTTTTAAAGACAACATCTTTATAGTTTGTTGTAATTTTTTATTAATATCAAAGAAAAATCAGGTAATTTTAATGAAGATTCTGTTTATAGCCCAAGCCTGTATCTGTTCAGATATATAAAATTGAAAAAAATAACAACTTTTTACTAAATGCATATGAAAGTATATACGGTACTAGTAAGAAAAAACATTTTTTTTATTATATGTCTATCTCTCTGTCTGTCTGTTCCGTCTAATCTCCGAAACGGCTGAACCAATTCAAACCAAACTTAGGTTACTTTTATTTTAGAAAAAGAATATTTATTTATGGTATTTCAAATTAAAAATCACATAGCTATGTTATAAGATAATATTTTTTTAAATCCACTACCTATAGTAAACATAAACTTATGAACTTAAAAACAGCTAAGTATGCAACAAACAGCTGATCACTTCAAACCGTAATGTATGCGAGCGTCATTGACATACATTACTTGACGTAACGGCGCCTTATTCTGCACAACACTTACGATGTACGATATCAAAACTATACATTTACGAACTAACAGTGTTATACATCACGTTACCTAAATGTGATCGACTTTCACAATCTGACGTAAATTTTATAATTTTGAATTTGTAACTTTCTTGGACGGTGTTATATAATTTTATTACGTTTTACGTCACATGACGTGGAAGCGTATTTTTGTCGATCTCTGTTGTTTTTATAGTAACAAATAGATTTTAGTACGAATAATGCCAGAATTGATTAAATGTTTAAGTTGTCTCCAACGATTGAGTTATTATTTTCTTTAATAATAATTAAAAAATATGACTTTTGAAATGTCAATAACCATACTTTTTTCGTGAACATGTATGACTCTTGAAGTGTCGGGAACAAAAAACAAAATAAGTATATAAACCGCGAAAAATTTGGAAAAAATACTTTTATTTACATATTATTTGTCTTAACGTTATGATGTTCCTTGAATAAGGGTAAGAAAATAGTACCTACACTCGTAGCACAATAGCAATAATTAATGTTAATTAAAATTGTTTTATCAATATATATTTTTTCTAATTATTTATTATAAGAACAATATCTTAAGCTTTATTGTTATATATCCGGGTCAATTTGCATTTGTCGACTTCATGATTTATTATTTCTTGGGAAATAGAACATGCGTGACTCGTTCAATTAGCTCTATTTGAACTAATATACGGAAAACTGCAATTTTCTAATAAAATTATATTGTCTTTATCTTATTTTTTATTGCTCGCAAAATATCAGGTTAAGAAATCTTACTTTTTTAATGTATCAAACATTTATGTATTTATAATACATATTTAAGTGTATTTTGTACCAAAAAAATATTACTGTTTATGTTTTATTGAAAAGTAAATAATAAAACGTAAAATAAAAAAATAATATGATACATTAAATAATAATAAGATAATAATATAATAAAATAATATGTTTTAAAATAACAAAATTAATTTTAATTAATAATTGTTATCTTTTAAAATATTTTATTTAGTTTAAAAGTCACAGAATAAGCGGTGAGGTCGTTCAACGGAACTTATATGTCATATGCACTGTCATGTGACAGTTTGTTTAGTTTTTTTTTCGTATTTCGACATGCGTTCTTGCAAGTACATATGTTATTATCTTTTTTTATATTAGATCGTGTGTTAAGATAAAACTTATGAATCATTATTACGTAAAGGATTGTATAATACGAGCATGAGCAATGTTCCTTTTTGATTAGATTTTGTAAAACAGCTAGCGATTTGCCCTCGTTTCGTTCGTACCTGAGCGAAGCACGTACATTTGAATTTTTTTGAGCAAAACCCCAATTCTTTATCTAAAATAAAATTAATCAGCAGAAATAATTTTTATTAAATTATAGTTTTCGTGCTTTCTTATAATAACCCTGCTTCAGGATAGCCCTTAGGTCACTTTTTATTACAGACTAGCGACTCACCCTCGCTTCCCTCGAGTTCGTCCCTACTTATGTAATAAAAATTAGTACAGATTTCTCACAGATGAAATATTGTCCCACAGTAAAAAGTATCCTATATGTTAACCCGGATCATCAGCTATCATCATACCAAATTTCATCAAAATCTATCCCGTGGTTTTTCCGTGAAGCAGTAACAGACAGACAGACGAAAATTCTAAAAACCGTAGATTTGGCCTCTGTATCGATAAAAAAGTCTATTTCAATAAGATTTTCCAAAAAATATTTAATGTACAGATTCGGCTTAGTTACAATTTTATTATATGTATAGACCATAGACTAACATCTAACAACAGATTACTATGTGATAAATCACGTCAGTCTCTACTACCTGATAGAGTAACAAACTAAAAAAATACGCTTTTACAATAATTTGTTTAAGAATAGTATTTTTAAATAAAATTATCCCCTCGGTTTTTTTTTACGGATTTATTTGGATATTTGATTACGGAACTGTCGAATGCTTTTTTTTATAACAATCATGGTCTTGGAAGAATGAATCTAAAGTGTTAGTTTTGTTTTAAAATGTCAAATATTCGTAAAATCTAAGACATATTTAATGAAAAATATATAATGTCTAAAGAAATCATCATTTTTATATCTTCTATACATTTAAATATGTTGGGACATTAACACACAGCACCATCTAGTTCCATGGTAAACTATGAAGCCTGTGTTATAGATACCCTATATGTAAATACATATTTTGTACACCTTATAAGTCCCACGTTTCACACATTATTTTTTAATAAGATTGAACTACACTTATTATGTATATGTAAAGGATTTTATGATATGCGTTTAATTACAAATATCTACTACAAAGGACACGGGTTCGATATCTGCATGAAACAAATATTAAATAAGCGGAAGGAACACAGCTATCCTGTATTATGACCGCCATAAAAACATTATATTGAACTACATATTACATAAAGTTTTATAACAATTCTCAAATGTGAAATTGTAAGTAAAAATAATATAACCGGTGTTTTGATTTATGGAACTCGATATGAAAGTTCCAAGGATATGATTTAAAGCTCTCTAAAGGAGAATAAAGTTCTATTTTAAACTGTCATGATGAATTTCTATTCCTGAGTTATTGTTAAATTTTTACGTGTGAATGCAATTCGACTTTAGAGGCTATTTGTTTACGTCATAACCGATTTGTGCTTTATTATAAGCTCCATACCAAAGATTAAACTAATAACATAATAGCTTTACATATTTATGTGAATGGTTTATTTTGCTATCAAAGAATCAAAGTAATTAATTAATAACTTTTTAGTAATAGCTTGAATAATTATTTTATAATTTGTTTATTACTAGCATTGCCAGCGACTCCGCCCGCGTTCAGATGACCAATAACCAAGTTCTTCGGTTTTACATATTAGTATACTCTTACATTGCAGTTTTTGTATTTTTTCTCAGAAATGAGATATTTTCCCGCGGTAAGAAGTATTTTATAAGTTGACCCGGATAACCAGCTATCACCATTACAATTTTCATCAAAATCCCTCCAGTGGTTTTTTTGTGATGCGGTAACAGACAGAGAGACAGACAGACAAAAATTTTAAATACTATAGATTCAGCCTCTGTATCAATAATAATGTTTATTTCAATAAGATTTTCCTAAAAATATTTAATGTACAGATTCGGCTTAGTTACAATTTTATTATATGTATAGACAAGGTGTACTGCAATAAGTTTTTAATGAGTTAGTCTATTCAGTTTTCGTAACAGTCCAAGTAATTCAAAAAATATCTGAGGATCGATTTGTGTTTTGTGTTATTGAGTAATATTTTGTTAGATTCAGAGTATGGAATCGTGAATTGGTAACCCGTTGGGAGCGCGTGTGACGTTAAACGTATTATATTACTAGTGTGCTGTTATATTACTTGTGATTCCCTAGGTGCCTTTTGTGTATTGGTAAAAAAGCCTTGAAAAGATATTCTTTTTTATATAATCTATATAAATAAATAAAATTGAAGTGTCTGTTTGTTATGTCAAAATATCAGTATTTTACTAAATGCATATAAAAGTATATACGGTACTTATAAGTTTTTTTATTGTTATCTGTCTATCTATCTGTCCGTTTGTTCTGGGTAATCTTTGAAACGGCTAGACTGATTTTGACGGGACTTTCACTGGTAGATAGCTGTTGTTTTAAGGAGTAACTTAGGCTATTTTTATTTGAAAAAAAGAATTAGGATTCCGCGCAAAAAAAATAATTTCGTGAAATTACAAACCTAAGCCAAAGACTAAATTCGGTAGTATGTAGTATAATATGTATCAATTCATCTTTTGATATACCACCAGTGCCATTTTTTGGCAAATATTACTAATATCCCGACGTGTTACTCCAAGTTATCTTCTATGTAATAAATTTTATCAAAAACAGATGAAATTCTCAAAAGTAATATATATAGATAAATATACTCTAGTAACTTTTTTGTTGATTGAATGATGTCTAATTAGCATATTTTTTATTTTCAGAATTCAAAATGCATCAGAGCGTGAAGATAGTTAGCATCCTGACCTTGGCTGTAGCCATCTGTCCGTCAATCTGTACGTATACACTTAGTTTTGAGGTCACTGTATATTTATTATTTAAATTAGATAACATTTATAAGCAGCTCTGCTTGAATTTATTAAACTAATTTTTCAATATTTTACGCTCAAGTTAACACTTTTGTAGTAGAATTTACAGAAGTTTACTCTTAATGCGTCTCTACTAGTTATAAACCCTTTCCTTTCCTTCAGTTGTTAATAGTAATTATTTTTAATTTGTTCTAAATAACATACTTATTCATAAGTTAATTAAAATACTTAAAGTTTAAGTAAAATTAATATAGTGAAATAAAATATTATAAACATTGCCCCTATAATTTTGGCAGGAGCGCTTATAAAAAAATATATTTAAATGAATTAATTAATATTCACTAACGACTCACTCTCGCTTCGCTCGGTTACGCTACTTTTTTATACTCTGTTTCTTAATAGATTTTCTTATCTTTATATAGATATTAACGGGCTTAAGTGTTATTAATAAAAAAAAAAACAAGACACAAGTTTTTTTTCTTGATAACACATAGTAAATTCTATTCTACTAAAATTATAAATGCGAAAGTTTGTGAGGATGTATGTATGTTTGATGTCTTTTGTATGTATGAGGTTTGAATGGCTTTTAATCTTCGATCAACAGTAATATTGTTGATCAAAGCTTTTAATGAAACTTTAAAATAACATAGCTCATACATCAGAATAAAACATAGACTACTTCTTACCCCGAAAAATGAACGGTTCCCATGGTTTTTATGTGGTGTAGATTTGTTTTTGTTTCTCAGCTATTTCATATATGTTTTCCTCAAATTTTCAATAATAATTATGGAGCATTTCGACTAAAAGACAGACAATAGTACCTACCTAGTATTTAAAAGGTAATGGGTTAGCAAGTGGTAAAGAAGACACTCACGTTTCACACTATGTCTATATATATTATAGTGTACGCCGTACGGGTATATCCCTAAAACTTGTTACAGTGGAATTACCGAATCCTGTCTTACAAGGAAAATCGTACGAAGAAATCACGATCCGATCCAGCATAGTTGCTTTAACCTCTTACATTTATTTACTTAAATTAATTAGATATTATGTAAGTAAGAAGTTAGATGATAGCACGTAACTAATGAAATTGGTTGTTTATTTATATTTTATTTAATATTTAAAATTTTATAGGAACAAAATAATTTCTTTATTCATGATCATTTTTTTGAAGTTTAGTACTTCTTTTGGCACGTTTGGAAAAATTGTATTCAGCCCTTTTTATCGTCCCACTGCTGGGCACGGGCCTCCCTTCAGTACGAGGGGAATCAGGCCATAGTCCACCACGCTGGCTAAGTGCGGGTTGGCGGACTTCACACGTCTTTCGAAAACTTGCTAAGTTCTCTCAGACATGCAGGTTTCCTCACGATGTTTTCCTTCACCGTAAGGCAAGTGGTAATCATGTTAGACATGATTCGCACATGAAAATATCAGAGGTGCGAGACCCGGGATTTGAACCCGCTTCACTCGGTTTCTCAAGCGAGCGCGTTACCACTGGGCTACCACTGCCAAACTGGAAAAAATTATGAAAGTAAAATTTTTTCGATGCTCGCGCACACCGACAGCTAAAAAGCGACATGATGAAGTTAGCTGAAAGCGATATAATGAAGTGCTGCATTCCTTTTAAACCGACTTCCTAATAGGAGGAGGTTCTCAATTCGTCGGAATCTTTTTTTTATGTATGTTCACCGATTATTATTGGATTTTTTTGTTTCGAAGGTACTTCCCAGGTGGCGTTTAGTTATTTTGTACATTTTAGCGCCTGGAAGTCGTTTTTTACAAAGTTTTTACAAAAAGAGAGTTGTGACATACGGGATGAAATTTTTGTTCTGGTACGCCAAAGAAATATAACTATACGTTTTTTATATACTTTTAGAAATTTTGTATGTTACATATTATGTATTTCACAACTAATAGGGCCTCATGAGACCTTGTATATACAAGCTACTAAACAGCATATTACAGACATAGACTTAGGTACACTTTTCCATATATTGTATGACATCGCTGTACAGTACCTTGTTTATTGAAGAAGGAATTAAATTCAATTTACAATGTTTTTAAATAATAATAATATTTATTGAACAATAAAGACACTTAAAATGCTAAACAATATAACATACAAACACAAACATACATATATTATTATACAGAATAATTAGTTTTTAGATCTCGATTTAAATTAGGCTGTGTCGACACAAAATATATGGTAGCCTCTGTTTCCGTACTAGGAGACCTATATTACGGCATACAGCGCCTCTCCCAGTAGTCTTATCAGTATTATCGTATAATTTGAGTAATTATCAATGATTTGGTATTTTATATACAAAAATCTAAATTGAATACTTTCTCCTTTTTGAAGTCGGTTAAGAATAACAACAAAAATCGTATGCTCATGCCAGATCTTCATGAAATATAATATGTTATAAATCAAAGATATTTGGTGAAGATATAAAGATATCATTTATTAACATTTTATAAGTGAGAACAAATTATTTTTATTACTTTTAAAAAAGATATTTATTTAAATGGAATCAAAATATATCAATAATTAAGGCCAATACAAGACTCAAATAATACGTATAATATTATTACTGAGTTATTTATTAAAATAAAACAAAATTCCTGTAAGTTTCAATTTACATTTTTAATACCATCTTATTTTTATTCCACACACTTTTCCTTTCGGAAAAATTAAACAAAATTACATTTTATAAACATCAAATAACTTTTTGGCGACACGTTTAGCTCAGTTTGTAGTGACCCTACTTGCAGTGCCAGCGGTCGCGGGTTCGAGTCCCGCTGGGGGCATTCATTTGAGTGATGAGCACGAATGTTTGTATCCCAGTCATGGGTGTTAATATTTATAATATCTATGTATTTAAAAGTTATATATATGTAGTGTATCAACTATCTGGTATCCATAACACAAGCCTCATAGCTTACCATGGAACTAGATGGCGCTGTGTGTTAATGTCCCCAACATACATATATATATTTTATTCTTAGAACATTTTTTTGTGTTAAATATTTTTATACAGCAATAATATACGTTAATTTAATATAAAAAGTTAAAATAAAATATAACTTTGAATTCTAAAATCATAACTGTTTACATGGCACTTATTCACAGGTTATAAAAGCCTCTTACGTTTTTAGATCTGATTTATTCATAAGCTAACAGATTCGTATGAAATTGCAAAGTGAAAAAGAAATGATTTTGTCTTTACATTAGCCTTGACCTTTCAATACAATGAAAGCTAGTTCGATGAATCGAATATGTTGTTTTGAAGTAAATACTTATTTATATATAAAAAAAATTTGTCTGTCTGTGCCTTAACAATACCTATTAAATGCTTATTTTGATTGAGTGAAACTTGAAATCGAGAGCTTTTACTCTGGATTAAACATAATGTATAGGCTATTTCTATCGACGTTACATATTATAATTATGAGGCGAGCAAAGCGTAGTAGGTTAATTTGTAATAAATTAATTATCATTGAATAAATAAATAAAAAAAATAAATAAATATCTAAAAATAAATAAAATAAATAAATATCATGTATTTTAAAATTCATTCGCGTTTTATTTTTACGAGCGACTCAATCTCGCTTCGCTCGGGTTCGTGCTTAGCTTACTTCCCGAAACAAATTTTCATCCCCATTTTCATCTCCTTAAAGGATAATCTTCGGGATATTAAGTATCCTATATTCTTCCCAGGGTCTCAAACTATCTTCTAACCAAATTTCATCTAAATTGGTTCAGTAGTTTCGGGGCCTATACGATACAAATAATCTTTATAATATTAGAATAGATGAGCGTCCAGAAATCGCAGACAGCCCTTAAAAAAGTCTGTCAATTTGTAACCGCTAATCTCCGAAATAGAAGTTTAACGACCTTATGAATTGTAGGGCTGAAGCAAGTTAAGGATGTGTAGTTTGCAACTAATTTTGAATTTAATTATCAAAATAAACCAAATCCCAGCGAAAGGATACATAAATTTTATCGACCTTGTAAATAAAAGCCAATTAACATATTAATTAAGGTTTTACTGAACACAGTACAGTACCTCACTTCTACTGTAAACAGTTATGTATATTTTATAGGACCTTCGATATTCAACTGGCTTTAACGCTTAAGAGTGTTTATTCATGGGATACGCCCAGATTAATACGGACATTATAATTGTTTTATTATATACTAACGACTAGCCGATGGAAAGCAAAGCTATACATTATTATAATAAAATTGTAACTAAGCCGAATCTGTACATTAAATATTTTTTGGAAAATCTTATTGAAATATACAGATACAGAGGCCGAACCTATAGTTTTTAGATTGTTGTCTGTCTGTCTGTTACCGCATCACAGATAAACCACTGGTTATCACAGATATACCAGACAGCTGATTATCCGGGTCAACATATAGGATACTTTTTACCGCGGAAATAGGTCTCATTTCAGAGAAAATATCCAAAAACTGAAATATACGAGTATACTAATATGTAAAACCCAAGAATTGCTAGTCTAATATATTTCGAAACGTAAAATACATCAAAATTGATGTATAAAATTTTAGATATCGATTGTAAATGAAACCCACCGTTTAGTTATTTTTTACAGTGTTTACATTTTTTTTTAAGTTTTTATTTTTCCATTTTAGTGTAGACTTAATAAGAAGGTAATTTGTAAGAAGGAAGTTTTTTAATAAAATATTGGATTAAGGAATTTATTTTAGAAAAATATTTATTGTTTAATTTTTTAAGAAACCGCTCGACCGATTTCGATAAAATTTAAATGGGACCACCTGAAAAGTTGGTATACCCTTCGAAACAAACAAAAAAATTTCCAAATCGGTTCTGGAGTCTTCGAGTAATCGGTGAACATACACAAAAAAAAGGTTCCGACGAATTGAGAACCTCCTTTTTGGAAGTCGGTTAAAAAAGGAGATGCATAGATTAACA